TATTTTAAATGTTTAATCCAATTTAAAATGTATTTGTAAAATTCAATCAGACCAATTTATTTATTTATTTCAACAATAGTTTCAGTAGATTCATCAATGTAATTATTTTTTGTTTTAGACTACTTTATACCGACTTGATTAATTTATTCATTAAATTTTAGACACCATGTTGAGACGATCTGGAATTTTTTGAATTAGCCTTTCAACGTTTTAAAACAGAGTTGTGCTATTTTTTGTTTTGTTCGTTTTGTTTTTTGTTGATTTTGCATTGGATCATGTCAACATATTCAAGCTTTGTGAGGATAACATTACCTAACTTTTTTCTAAAGCATGTAAAACAATTTTAAAGTTTCATTCATGAAAGTCACTACCTATCTTGATTTTTATTCAGTTCCACTATTTAAGTAGATAATCCTTTCATGAAATATATATTGAATGAATGTTAAATCGTACTGGAACGGACCTTTTATTTGGAACTTTAATACATTAACGACCTCTTGTGGATGAGAAGGGCTCTTTCTTTTTTGGTCCCATGAGGAAAAGTTTAGTTGAGCACTTTTAAACCCTGTCAGCTGCTGTTTGCAGTCCACAGAACAATCAGCGTGGAGAGCTCCCCCTTTGCTTTTTTATTTGCATGTGTCGCCTTTACAAACGACCCTCAGCCACTGAAACCAAAACCAAGGGCGTGAAACATCTCACACCTGCTAATGAATCCGACGCGAATCGACCATCGAGAATGAGCCATTAACACCTGAGAATCTGCGGGAGCTCTTGTAGGTTGCGTTTTAGGGCGAAACCTCCTCCTGGGGGGTTTACAAGATAAAAATGCAGCTACTGTTGGGCCCTCCGCGGACCGGCGGCACGGGAAACGCGCATAAAGCAAATTGTTTTCTCATTTTTTTAAATTGTGATAAAACAAAGAATAAAGCCAAGACGCCTTCCTGATTCAAACTGAAATTGATTTAATTTTATTTAACAAACAAAAACACGCAAAAGTTAATTTTCTGTCTTGCCAAATTTTTAAAGTTAAATCTCGTAAAACAGTTTTGCAAAATCTACTGGCAGCTGAAATCAGACAAAACTCAATCAGAATCATGCACGAATGGTTTAGCAAAAAAAAAAAAAAAAGGGTGTGGGGGGGGGGAATGATTCTGTAGCCAAACTGTGGGGAGAGATCCCACTTTATTCGTCTTGAGCCATAGTCGTTATAAATCCGCTCAAAAAGAGACATACCGCACGGAATCCATTTTCCCGTTCAATGGGGCGTGACAAACAGCGCCGGAGCAATAAAACTAACGTCCAATTAGTAGTCATCTAATTCTCAGGGACCGGTTATTTGTTTATCTGCGCAAATCTCAATACTGATCCGCTTGTAATCTCCTTATGGAAATTGACCGGTAGCAGAGAGAGAGAGTGAGAGAGAGAGAGAGAGAGAGAGAGAGAGAGAGAGAGAGAGAGAGAGACCCAGTCAGGAGTAACCCGGAGTTTGATAATGAGGCCCTCTGTGCAGCTAATTTCCTAATTAAGGGACGGAGGGACCACCAGCACAGTCTGCTCCGATTCAGGCTCAACAAGCCCCGACAGTCCTGAGGGGTCTCTCAGGGCGCTGTGCTGCTCAGTGTTGGGAAATATGTCGAAGTCTTGACTTAAACCTCAGTCCTGGTTAAAACTTGTATTTCCTCTTTCTTTCACATTCAAAATCGAGCGCACAAAGCGTAAAATCAACGCTTTACCCTATGTAAATCAGTCGCAACTATGTTTTTTTAAGATTAGTTTAGTATGTTATTAAATACATGTTTAAGTACTACACTTTTATTTATTTATTTTGACTTATTTGCAACTCGACGACAAAGTTTTTCATTATTTTAGACTTTTTATGCCCGAAAATAATCTCTTAAAAATACATAAAATATCTTTAATTTTTTTTTTTTTTTTTTTTTTGCTGTCGTTTATTTGGCGGTTTTATTTATACGCTGCATGAATTTGGTCCGTTTTATTATCACATATTACAATAAAGTAACCCCGCACACACTCTAAATATTAGCCAATTCTCAAATCGACAATAATCATACTTTTCTACATTTTTTTTTTTTTTTTTTTGTGCCTGGAATCAGTAACTTTTTTCGTGTTTTGTTTTCAGCTCGGTGACCGGCGGACGGAGCCCCTTTGAGAAACAGTAATTAACAAAGAATGGCTTTTCAATTACAGTCACAATGGAGACTGTCTCATTAAGATTTGCATGATTTTTTGGGGGGGACCGGGAATGCAAATGAAGATGCAATTTACGCACGGTCTGCTGTTCCCTTTGTGCAGCGTGAATGGCTGCGTCCTCCCAGTTCAGCTCAGGTAAAAATAATATTCACGGGTCATTTAAAGGAATAAAAGTGTTGGTCTTATCGCCTCTTTGTCGCACAAAGCTGCGCTGGTAGTCCTAATGATAATTGGACTCATCTGACCAGTAAGAGCTGCAGTTGGTCATATAAAAATGATGCATTTTAACGTTCATGGTGTTTAATGCTATAATCTGTAACGCAGAATCACTGAACATTTTAACTCTGCTCCCTGCCTCGTGTAACATCGCCTCTATGAGTTTTGATTTCTGCAGCAGGTACAATACCCGGATGTTGTTCTAGGAAATTAAGACATTGATGACGGGATAAAGTCAACAGGTGCTTATTGTCAGATCTGGACTAAATTTTTCTATTTTATTTAATCAAATCTTTAAAAGTCAAAGCATTTATCTACCAAAACTGTTTATGTCTTTAATTAGAGGATAATAATTATTCCATAAAGCTGTTATTTTTAATGTCTTAATCAAACGTGCTACTTTTTGTATCATCTCATCCAGTTAAATATTAATGAAAACAAAATATGGCTTCATTATATCTGGCCAAGTATTTTTAAGCTCCTCTAGGGAAATGGGTCCAAACATTGGGGTTGAGACCCCTGTGGGAGCCGTGAAACACCATGTGACGGGTCTTCAGAACTTTATTTTAAATGTCACATCTGAAATCTGACATTTAAGAAATTATATAATGGTTTGTGAGACTGTTTTTGTTCTAATCCTCTGGTTCGATCAGCTTTTTGTAGCTTTTGCATGGGGAACACTGAAAGAAAAGTTACCTGTCAGGTTCACCCTGAATGAGTTTTCTATTGCTTGATCGTCTGTGCCTGTGGGGAACAGGCATTCCCTTGTGTTGTGCTGAGTGTAAAATAATATGCCAGCGCACTGTGGCTTTTTATTGATGCAAAGAAAAAAGGCGTCTGATTCACAGCTATTGACTTTGTGCTAATTTAAAAATATATTTCCATATTTTTAAGGGATCTTATGTGATCAACTTTAGTTCAAAATCTAAAATACTTAAACTAGTAGAACAGATCAAACATAAACTGAATTATGCTGCCCTTACAAGTATTTTTTTTTTTTTTACAACTTGAGATTAAGATTGTTTTGTTCTACATTTTGCATGCATAAATACTAAACTGGATAAGATTTTGTGGCTATTGATTTTCTGATTGAATGTAAATGTAATTTCTAAACAGTGCTGCTATCTTTACCAGGTCCCTCTTGAAAAATAGGTTTTATATCTCAGTGAGGTTTTTTATCTGGTTAAACAAATGTTATTATTACAACAAAAAAATAAATAACTATAATATTATCAATGCTTCAAAATGAATTGATACCACCTTAGATTAAAGTCAGTCTAAATCTGCAATGTTTAGACTAGTCAAAACTGAAATGAGTTCAAATCAGACAGTTTATTAGAGACACAGAGTTGTGGTATATTATAGAGATAAAAAAATATATAAATCAATATATATTAAATAAATACATATTAGATATGTAGAAAATTAAAGCAGTCATCCAGTCTGTTTCATTGTCCATGCAAGTTCTCAATAAATTAGTTTATTATAAGGCTAAATTACAAGAATTACAATACAATCAAAATTAAATTTATTTTAGTGACTTAATTCAAAAAACAAAACATGTATTCTATAAATTAATTATTCAAAGTTACTTTTTCACCAATCACTTATATTTCAAGCATTTATTTCCTTTATGGTGATTACGTTTTATAAATTATTCATTATTGACAATTAAGATATCAGACCAATTAAAAGGACATTTAATGACTAAATGTTGACCTGCTGAAAAGTGTATCCATTTGCTGTAGAGTAAAACCGTTCCATTCTTGGTCGAGGCTCCTTTTGCATGAATTACTGCATTGATGCAGAACATCTGTCTGTGGTGCATGTTACAGTTCAGACATCTGATCAAACTCTTGATTTGAATTTGCTTCACAATCAGAGATGTCAAACTCCCTTCCTCAACAACTTTTAGATGTGTCCCTGCACCAACACACCTGAATCCAATGGATTTACCTCTTCAGGGTCCAGCTAACAACCTTATTATTTGACTCTGGTATGTTGAAGCAGAAACGTTGCAGGACACTCGCTCTCATGCTCTGGAGTTTGAAACTTGTGCTCTAAATTCTGCGGTTATCTCTGCTGCTTAAGCACTTTATTTTAACCATATTTTTTTCTTCCACTCAACTTTTCTTCAATATGCTTTGATACAGTGAAAGGCCAGTTTCTTTAAATATAACTATTTATAGCTTATTATCTATGTGTAGAGTTTCAATGACTTTCTGCTGGCCAACTGTTCTATCAGCATTATTGTCTCTGCATAAGCCATAACAATAAATTCCTGTATATGAAAATATATTTTTTATATTGGTCTTCTTTAATATTCAAATTATCCAAAAAATTGTTGTAAAAAATAATTACAAATATATTATTCTGTGTCTTATGATCCAAGTAATACAAGCTTCATTTTTTCTTTTGAATTATTGAAATAAATGAACCTTTTTTATGATGAAATCATTACCTATGGACCAGAATCTGTACATTTTTTAAATAACTGGTAATAAAATGAATATTTTTTCAATGTCTAACATGAAAAACAAACTTATAAAGTTGATTAAAATGTATAAATTCACCTTATGATTGAGAAAAGCGGGTCATTGTCCCCGACTGTTGGTCCATCTGAAGTACTGGAGGTTCAGTCATCAACAGAAGGAGCTGTCACTCCAACCTTCAAACATAAAAGCAAAACACACACTCAGAAGACAGATGCATTGATTTTTTTTTTTTTTTAGATTTAGTGTAGTGTGCACATCTGCCTGGAGGACTAATGGAGCACACTGCATTCCTCCCTCAGCTGTAAGAGATTCATTTGTGCTTCGTTTGTGGTGCTGGCCCACAAGTGTCATCCCCCGCACTCAAACGCTCACCTTGTACCACTATGAGGAATGCGAGCGTCTTACTTATCGACCTCTTCCCGTCTGAAACAACACACAAGAAAGCTGCTTCAAACTCCAGCTTCTTTTATTTTCCCTCCCTCAGCAGCCAAGCATGTCCTTCCTCATTATGTTCCTGTGTGTGAGGCCAAGGCCGCTGACACAGACCCAGTGTAATCTCTTTAACCCGCCACTGTCGCGAGCAGACAAGGCGTGACCACCCAGCGCCGTGCTCCATCTCACTCAGCCGAGAGGGGAACAGTTTTCTCACCTCATCACCTTTGGCTCATAGCTGCTTATCATTTTAGGGATGCACATTTCAAACACAGTCGATCACACACACACATAGACCCGGGGTTAATCGCTGCGACAAGGCCACTTTAGATAATCATGTGCAGCGGGGTGAAAATCCATTCTTACTGACCCTCCAGTTCCCATAATTGCCAAAAAGCATCTCCCCCCCTCCCCCTGTGGTTATTGGCTAATGAAGCCAAGTGAAATTATATCACAAGAGAGAAAATCAGTGGAGACATTTTTTTGTCATAAAGATACAATGATTACTGACTCTTTGCTTTGCAGATTAGGGGAAACATATTCAAACATTTGGTATATGACGCGTTAAATGAAAACTAAAACATTAAATTACAGTAAATTATAAGACCCCGTCCATTAGAAGCTAATTTTAATTCACCTTAAATTAGGCAGAAAATTTCAGAAAATGTGTTTTTGCCTCAGAGCCACTAAGACACTTTTGAGCTCCACATGACTTCCTTGTTTGTCCCTCGGGTCAGAACTTGACCCTCTAATCTGGGCACTTTGCTTCCAAGATTTTTACAACAAGTTGCATTTTGTTCAGAAAAAAATGTGATTTTAAAAATTCTGCTGTTTTTTATGTTTTAAACAAAAGGACACAGGAATTAAATTTTATTTTGTGTACTATTTGATAAATTTTAGGATTTTGTGGTCCTGCATTTATTCTACTTTCTCGAATAAAAAGCATGTTAAGTATGTCTTAAATGACACAGTAGAAATCCGCTTGAAAACAGCTGACCCATATTTCATATATGTATTAAAATAGATACAAATACGCACATTCTTCATAAGTGCTTTCATATTTAAATTATTTTTTATAACTCAGCTAAAAGCAAATTTCTGAAAAAAGTCATCTGCAATGCTTTTTAATTTTTTTTTGCTTCCTGTAAGGTAGCAAAAAAAAATCTACCATCTTGGACTTTGACTTTCCACTAGATGGTGGGAGGAATGTGTATGATTTGATACATCAGGCTTTTAAAGAAAGTATCAACATTTTTGTACAGGTCTCAGAAACCTGTATCAAAAAATATATGTATGGAGTTGAGAAAAGGTAAAATGTAATAACATTGAAATATTTACTTAAAGTACTGAAGAAGTTATTCATCAAAGATGAAATGCAATTTTTAATTAAGACATGTTGAAAATAATTTAGTTTCTAAATTCAAAATAAAACATGGCAACCATATAAAATACAGGATTTTAAACAAGATCAAACTCTTATGATCACTTGTTGGTTTATTTCAATTCAGCTTTAAAGTCCAGGAAATGCTTAGATACAAGCTGAAGAAATTATTAAATTCCTTTGAATTATGACAATTTTAACAGGTTTTCTTTATTTTCTACACAGCTAGTAAATTTGTCAACCTGTTTTGTGTTAGTTCAAGTTTCTCTTTCGGGGAGCCGCAAAGATTGCTTACATGTCTGGCCAGCCCTGGTCTGGTGCCTGAAAAGTGAATGGCATTATCAACACCTCTGTTTGATGATCACTTTAGGTACAGTTATTCCCCCGGCCAGTTAATTACAGCACTCATTATTCCCTCATGTATCGGCCGAATCGTTGCCATGTTCAGTGTTTTTACTAAAACAAAGGAAACTTTCTCAGTTTTTTGTTTTGGGGAAAGTGCTGAATTGTCATGTTTTGCTTTGCACCGTGCCCGAGCAAGCGGCCCTCTTTTGTTTTAGCCATAATTGAGATCCCACTAATCTAGCTTCTTCTTCCCTTTTTTTTTAAATGAAACACTCCCTTTGTCAGGGCTTCATTAGTTTAAGATAATATTGTTAGAATCCACAATTAATTTGCAGTGTAACTGTAATTAATTAAATACACCCAATTTTGTAATATGATTAATGCCGCCAAGTTTGTTATCTGCATTCTCCTACAGAATGAAAATGTAACAGCAGCAGAGCTGCTGAGCATTAATTGCAGAGGCTGGGAGCTTTTGGGAAGCAAAATTATAGAAGGTAATTTATTAAACCCTAAATAAGAAACAAACAAGCATAAATTGATATATAAATCATGAATAATGTAATCTAGTTCTGATTTGGGACAAAATGACTAATCTCTGCTGCATGCCAAGCACTTGATGAAGTAGATAGTGGTCATAAATTCAGTCACAGTCAAGGTCTCATTAAAACCGGCTTAATTTAATTAAGAGTTAGCCATCGCCCTCTAAATATATTAATTACCTTGAGCATGACGAGATAAGTGTGGCGATTACGACGCGTTTCATTAAAGCAGGTCTTCTGGGAGGAGAGCAAACTAAGGTGGGAAGCTGGCTGTGTTGACAAGATAATGGATGGGCTGGACTGAGATGAATTTGGTCACCTTGCTTCTGGTTGAGCGCAAAGAGGTGAGGCAGAGGACAACACTGCATAAAAAATGCAAGTTTTTTTAATTAAATTTTTGTATTATTATTATTATTATTATTATTATTATTATTATTACTGGTAGTGGTTTGTTTTTCAATATTTTACCTGAAAATGAAATAAAAATCATTAAACTCATCATGCTTTGCAAAGTAAGAGGAGAAAATCAAACAATTTTCCTGGAGAGAACGTTAAGAAAAAAGTCATAATTTTGTTTGTTTGCCAAGTCTTATTTTAATAACTTGGTTTGTTCTTATAATTACACTAAATTAAACTCATTTTTTCCCTTCTTGCCAGAACACTTAAAACATAAGAAAAAAACAGAACTGGAAATCTCTAACAAAGCATTTCTCCCTCCTTTCTGTGCAGCCCTAAAACAGTCCATTGTGTCAGATTCCTCTTACATCAAAATTTATTTCTCACCAACACCTAAGAGCTAGATTGTCGTGCCGCCTGTTTGCGCTCGCACAAAGACGCCTCCGACAAATACGGAGCAGAAGTGTGCCGAGGGGTGCAGAAGCAACGGCTCATTGCCCCACAGACTGATATGTCAATGAAACATACAAGACGCTGCCGGTTGCAATGGGGAGATTTCCAGCCTCTGCTCCTCTCCTGGCTGACAGCAGGACAAAGAGCCTAAGCTACTATTATCTGGAAGCAAGACTCTCATTCCTGCTTTCATCCTTTTCTTTAAGAGTACAAACATAGATATGGAGCTCTGCTTAAAGTCACTGATGCATCCAGCCTGGATGAGCCTTAAGCAGCGGAGTCAGGCTGGATATTGTTGAAATGTCAGAAGGGTTGAAGTGAAGAGGCTTCCTTTAGGTTTAGTTGCACAGTTTCTGATCACAATAACACCAGGTCAAAGAAACCAAGCATGAAAAATATGTTATTTCCACACGTGAAGCAATGCAACAACTTCACAAATTCAGTACATGAACTCAGAGAACACAAAGCTCCCCAACGCCGCCGTCTTCCTGAACGCCCCCTCCCTCTTCTCTCCTCTCCTTCCCACTAACCTCCTCCCACTCCGACCAGAAAAATATCCAGGAAACTCACCGAGCTCTCACTGGTCTCAAGGCTGCTGCTGCTTCTGCCTTTCAGTTCCTCTGCTGGTCCCACCTTCAATAGCCGACTGTCAGCAGGCCCAGAAGCAGGACTCTATGGGCAGAAAGATGGCAAGCTCAGAGTCGAGCCTCGGCCTTTCAAACGGCACAACCGAGGCGCAGAGGAGAAATATGAAACGTTGCGAGTGTTGGGCAGTCACTTCTTTGGGCCGTGCACACTGCAGCTGAGCTCTCCCTGCTCTGGGACCCATCTCTTTCAGCCAAGATTGCTTCATACAAAAGTTGACAATGCACCACTGAAAGCCATTGTTGATATTCAACATTTTTTAAATAGCTGAGCAGAATAGACAACATGGCAGGCTGCAAAACTTGGCAAGGAAACTGACCTGGAGCTGCCCATTTGAAAGGACTGCCTCACTGGGTGAGAGAAGAGAGGGCTATTGTATTAAAAAAAAAAAAGAGGTACGGAGAGCCGGTGTGAAAGAGTCGGAAAAAACAAAACGTCTCCCATCCCTGGAGAGTGGAGCATTACGCTTTATGTGTAGCAGGAAGAAGACAATCACTTTTCACAGTCACAAGCATATATGCATTACCAAGAGGGAGCAGAACAATAAAATCAATGCAATCCAATCCATTTTAAACCAGGATATTACATTACAGGCTCTTCAAAAATAAATCTCAGCATGTAAGAGGTAAATCTTAGTGCCAGCACAACGGAACCAGAAGTTCCAGCATTTTTATTTATTCACCCAGCTTTGCTCTGGCGTGGCTAAGATCCAGTGGATTGTCCTGCATGTCTCTCTAATGTTGCATGGATGGGAATGATGCTGCCTGACGCAGGCGATGGTGTTCTGTTTCCATCATTGTTGAGCTGACAGCGCCGCAGATTGATATGGACATTTAAGACGCCTTTAACTGCACATATGTCAGAGCATCACAGTGCCGCTCGTGCCTGGGGAGATATTAATACATCTGATGTAGGTGTGAATGCGCGCGTGTGTGTGTGTGTGCGTGTGTGTGTGTGTGTGCGTGTGTGTGTGTGTGCGTGTGTGTGTGTGTGTGTGTGTGGGCCTGAGGCAGGACCCAGTGTTATGTTCTATGCAGCCTTGTGTCTTGTAGTGAGAGCAGGATGGGAGGAGCAGAGTGTGAGTGATTAATGTGTGAACAAACACATTGATCGTCTTTTATTGCACTGCAAAAACGCAAAATCTTACCACATATCTTGGTAGTTTCTAGTGCAAGTATCTTAGTACACTTGAAATAAAATAAAACTATCTTACAAGAAAGTGTTTAGCAAGATATAGAACACTTAAAATATATTGTAAGTAAATGATTTTTTAATAATGATGAAGACCTTACATTGGCAAATCATTTAATTTATAACAAGACACTTTCCCTTTGTTACAAGTGTAATGATCTGCCAATGTATTGAGTTATTTTTGCAATTATTTACTTAAAACATTTTACTACAGAATATAGAATAACTTCACACAAAATGGCGACATATAACCAAACAGAGCATTTGCCACACTCTGAAAAATATATTTCAAAGGATTAAGATCATTGGATTCTCAAAACTTCTGTTTTCAACTTTGCTTTTACTTAATTTCAGTTTATTTGATTTCTTCGTACATGTTTTATTTCATGTTTTATTATAAAGCACTCCATCTTCTTTTACTTGCATATAAAAAATAATAATAAAATTGCGTAAATCCCACCGTGCTTCATAATGGAAACATTGTGCTCTTGTGCAAAGTTAGTTTTCTTCCATGAAAGTCATTTTGTAATGATGAATGTTAAATGTTTCATCCTGGTCACTTTATAACCAAACTCTGAATTCAAACTTCCCCACAACTTTCCACTTAATGGTGTTATATTTACTTATTCGGTGATGTTTTCTAACAATCCTCTGAGCTTTTTACAGAACAGCTGCATTTATACTAAAATTAATCTACACACAAGTTGATTCTGTTAAGTAAATAAATCACTTCTTCAGCCCTTTCATTCAGGTGTGTTGGACTTTTAAGACATCAAAACGTTGTAGGACGCCGGCAACTGAGGACTGGAGTTTGACATCCCTGCTCTAGAGTTGGTGTAATGGTTTAGGAAACCCAGTGCAAAATTCATGATTTTATTTATGAAAATGGTTTAGAAACAACAATGTGGCCTTGTTGTGCCACTTCACCAAAGTTTGTGGTTTTTATGAGTCAAAATTTGTTCCTGAAGATGTGTAGATTCAATCATTCTAAAAAAAAAACACACACATTTCAATATTAAAATCATATCAAAACCTGACTGGTAGGAGTGATACAAAAAATGTGTTTACATTAATAAAACTTCGAGGTTTGTGGTTATAAATCATCAAATTCAAAATAATTGTTTTGTTTTTGGGGGGGTTTTTTTTAGAAAAACTATTAGATATTTGTTCCCTAAAGAACTTTGTGGTCTGTGACAAATGACAAATAGAAAATCAAATGCTTTCCTTGATCATTCAGATTCATACATTTATTAATGACATCGCTCATTCACTCTAAAGTACAGCAAAAGTATTTTTTTCCCTTTTTGAGTCAGTCTTCTTAACATTTTGAGAGTCTCAAAGAAAAACAAAATCACTAACAAGGAGTGCAGGCATGACATCAGAACTCAAATCTGGGCTGAGAAATAACGCCTAATGGCTAATCTGCAGAACATCTGCATAACTTCTTTGTTTCTACTTGCAACTGGAAAAAAGAGTGAAAAAAACAAACATTCTAAGCTTTTCTCCTCTTGCATAAAACGCTGCCGTGTGTTTCTGCATGCATGACTGTGTGTGAAGAGAGAGAAACTGGACCTCTCTGGCCCTTTGACAGGGGCAGGCTTGGAGTTGGAGCTGTGTAATTACACAGATCAGGGTGAAATCACAGCTCTGAGAGCGGAGGCAGGGCTAATCTTACAGGTGAGTCAGACGCAGCAAGGCAGAGGTACAGGGGGAACCTGTGGCGTCTGTACTGGAAGTCCACGTCAGTGCCTCCCATCACACACTATTAGCTGCCATCAAAGCTCTAATTTTACTCTAGCATTACACCCCTCTCTCTGCGTCCCCCTCCCTCCCCTGCTGGTCTGGATGGTGCAGCCTGGTGGGAAAACGACATTCAATCCGCTGTCCGCCCCATTCAGGCCAAATTGGCAAATGACAGCTCTCCGCCTCTCAGATTGCTGGAAGAGAAAAGGCGCCTTTACCGGCGCTCACCCTGAGCCTCGGAGGGGCCGTCGGGGTGGGCAGGGATTAGAGGAAGGGGCGAGCGGCGAGGAAGAGCGGGGTACCAGGGAGGCCGAGGAGAGGACCGAGGTGGGTTAACAGCTTCCCTTGTCCTCCTCGCTGGTGACGATGTGGGACAGAGAACGGAGAAAAGAAAGAGAAGAATGCCTACTCAGCAGATCAAAGAAACTTCCCTGTGACCGACAAGAAAAGTTGACCTGAATTCACTAACCGCCCAATTTTTAGCAAACCAGACCCAGAAACCAGCACTTGACCTCATGCGGCTCAACAGTGACAAGCAGGCAGAGGTAAATCCTACAGAGGCTAGCAGACACTGGCGTGGATGAACCCGTTCCTCTTGGTTTATTCTACCTCTGGGGTTGTCCAAACTACATAGTGTCCAAACTACATAGGCCAAAATCGTCTAGTCAGAAGTAATCACAAGCCAAGAAAATAAAAAAATAAAATTGAGCAAATAAAGTAGCCACACTTGTTGGTTTTAGGGGGGGAGGCTTGTAGGTAAGGGATGTTATTTATTGTAGATCCAAACTTAAAAATTAAGCATAAAGACCTACTGGTTGAGCGAAGCCATTTTATCTTTCTATCAAGGACTTTGCATTGACCTCCTCCACAATATTAAATTTTAATATATAAAAATATATGTATTTAGGCTGTATTAATGTTAGCTTCATTCTAAGAACAAACTATGTTTTTGGAAACACATTTTTTTGTTGAATGGATAAACTGAAGTGTTGTGTGCCACCATACACACAACACTGTTGGTAAGTGGTGTGTTTGAGAGTCGGCTGCTGATTTTACAGGTTTGATGTATTAAAAAAGAAAGACATCTAGTTTATCTAGTTTCCAAATTCTTTTGGGCTTGCCTGAACAAATTCATTCTACGTTACAAAAACAGGATTTGGGTCACTTTATTTCAAAACACTTGCCATATTTAGCAAAGTTTAGTAAAATAAAAGTTGACTTGGGTGCAGCTACATCAGTTTTTCACTAAAAGACTCTGGAGGGACATGATTCTTTGTGTTGTAACATTTTTCCAGCAATAATTTTACCCTGATTAAAAATAAACAAATTTGGATACAAATTTGCATCATTCGTGAACTTTAGTGGGTGGCCACAAAGGGCCCCCGCACCGCACTTTGGACACCCCTGTTCTAGATGTAATCAAGTAACAAGCAGTGCCATCTTTAAAAAAGAAAAAAAAAAAATCACATACAGCTGTAAAACTCGTGCACAGACAAACAACAAGGGGCTTTCAGCAATATTTCAGCATGACTCAGAGGGAAAACACACTAACTGGCTGCCCTGCTGAATGGTACTCTTACTGCTAATTAAGTGCTAATGGCAGTTCCCCCTGCAGAGAATACTAATTAATGCTCCATTCTTCTGCAGGCTGAGCGCGCACTCCACCGCGGCCTAATGAGGCGAGGCAGGTACGTCTTCTCCCAGGCCGGGCTAATAAGCACAACACAGTGGGCTCTCACTAGAGAGGGTCATACCAGGGGGGCCGCTTCCTGTTCCCTACTCTTAAGGGACTCCCCTAAAACATTTCACAATGAGCCATGGAAGTAATGAAAGGAAAGTAAGAAAATGGGCCAGCTTATGTCTGTCTGGTTTCAAAGTTTTACTCTGTACATGGGCAGCTACGTTAACATGGAGCAAATTAATCTGAATATCAAGAGAAAATTGTGTTAAACTACTTATGTATTCCTCTCACAGCCATTTAGTAAAGATGTTCCCTTTGTACATGACATAGAAATGCATATAGGTTGTAATATTGTGATTATTTTATGTATATCCAGCAAAAACTTTTCGAAAAACACAGTTTCAAGTATGTTTTTCAGAAACTGCTGATGCCAAGAAGAAAACAACTTCTTTTTCATATAGTTCCCCAACCTGCTGAGAGTTTGTGCCTCTTGCAGAATAAACACATTTCCTGTTTGGATGCAGAAAGCCCAGGGAGGGAATCAGATTCAAAGTGCTGAAGAATGAATGGATGTGCGAGT